GAGGTTCCTCTAAGCTATTACTGGTGGGAATTTGGTTTGATGCACTACAGATTATGGAAGCCATACAGTGAACCAAAATTAATATACACTGTAGAGAAAGTCAAACCCTAGGTAAGCAGGATTATGCTTTTTCTCCATAGATATTTTTTTTTTTAATTTAAATAAGACCTTCAGTTTTATGTTTCTTACTATTTTCATTAATTGACAAAAAGTACACGGTTATATCACAGGTAACTAACACGTATTAGTAACCCCACTGTGTGCAGACAGTAGAGACATGCCCTGTATCTTTAGCAGCAAAGGTAAATTCGGTGAGGTAACCTCAAGGCAGAGGGTTCAAATTCACCACCTGGCAAAAGGTACAAGTACTCGCACGTCAGCACATCTATCATTCCCCTCTAAAGAGCAGCCCTACCTGAATACAAACCACCACGTCAGAAAGTAAAAATCGAGGCTTCAGACGGAGCTGGCTGCAGAGCACAGCCTGCACACACCTGCACATCTTCTGATCCACCAGCCTAACGTGCACGGATGGACAACCTGCTCCTCTATTCCCACGGCACCTCCCAACACAAGGTCACTTTCCGTTCCATCCTCAGTATCACCCTCAAGGGAATGATGCCCAGTCTGGGGCCAGAACCAGCTTGGTCTATCCCATTCAAATTTAAGAGGGAGAAACATAAGCCCGGTGATGGCTCACAGCACCTGCTGGAAACTCTCACAGCTCCTTTTGGAATGAGCTCTCTCCCTGTGGTGATAAATACAGAGAAGAATAAAAATGAATTTTGCTTTGGTTCACTGGGGCTGCAGGCTGTTGGTATAATAAAGATTTATGCATGGAGAAACAACAATCCCAAAGCAAAGCATTCATGTAAAACTCCATAAAAGAAAGATTAATCTGACCTTGGACAGAGAGATGCTTTACCTGGCTACTTGTCAAACAGTGGGATGCAACCTAGTAGAGGTTCACTGAGGAGGTACCTACTGTGCAGCTTTTCATAAATCATACCTGGAATAACCCCACAGAAGTTTTGATGAGAAGGGAGGTAAGGTGACACCTTTCTGCCCAGCTACACCTGCTGACTTCCAACCCTTAGGAAAACTAAGGCCAGTTTCTCAGCACTCACCTTCATGTTCTACAAAGCCCGTGACCTTCCCATAGGTCCCCATTAGAGAAGCAGAGAAAAGGAAATACGAAATTGCTAAAAAGGCTAGCTCATAGCTATGCATCACCCTCCTGATCTACTAGATCTACCAGAGAAGAAGCGGTCCGAACTTGCAGATGGAGTTATGCCCATTGGAGCTGTACCAGATTGTGACCCACTAGTTTCAGTTCCCTTCATCCAGCCTCTTCGTATCGGTGGGAAAATCAAGAGCTGTTCCCTACATACATTATTTAAAGCACGTCTCCATCACAGCTCACTAAAGCAGAGCAACAAGTTAATGATGTTTTCTTCCCAAACAACAAGATTATCTGGTTTCTCAGATGCTGTAGGCACTTGTCTCCTTGCATGATGACTGAGCATCACACACTAATATGCAGGATTGGGTCTTTTGCTTCCCCACTAAACACGACATAACTGATGGCAAATTCAAGAATGCTGTGCTTAGACTGATCCCTGAAGTAATGCTTTTAGCTTGCTGGGAGCCTGTCTCAGAATAAGACAGTTAAGGTCTCAGTGTGT